AGAGTCTTTCACTCTGTCGCCAGAGCTAGAGTGCAGGTGGGTAATCTCCGGCTCCACTGCAACTCTGCCTCCCAGGTTCAAGCCATTCTCCTGCCTCAGCCTCCTGATTAGCTGGGATACAGGCGCACACCCCCATGCCCAGCTAATTTTGTAATTTTAGTAGAGTCAGGGTTTCACCATATTGGTCAGGCTGGTCTCGGAACTCCTGACCTCAGGTGATCCGCCCACCTTGGTTCTACCAAAGTGCTGGGATTACAGGTGTGAGCCACCATGCCCGGCAAACATTCTTTTTAAATGGTCAGCAAATATTAACATTTCAACTGTGCCATAGAAATTTTAAAATAACTACAAACTTTAGGATCCTGATCCTCCTCTTCTGGTGTCTTTTTCTTTGCTTGAGCATTCCTAATCCTGGAGAGAGAGGTGGTGGTACGGGGAAATAGAGGGGAAACAGCAAGACAAACAAACCAATATGGGCAGACATAATGTACTTTCAGGAAAGTCACCAAAGCAAGAAAAATGATTCTCATTGCCATGACACTAAAGGGGGTAAAAAGAATATTGGAAAGTGATAATGAGAAGCCAAGAAAACATGGTGGCCTAGAACAAAAAGCAACTTTGATGACAAAACTGTGCCTGGAGGAGAAGAGAGATGAGGGGTGGTAGGGCACGTGACTGGAAAATAATGGTAAAAAAAAAAAAAAGGAACAAGTAAATGGTGGAGAAAGGAGATGGTCAGAGTTACATACACACAGGAATGGGGTGAGAGGGGATGGGAAAAGGAAAGACAAAGTGAGAAAGAAAGAATATCAAGCCCAGGGACTATAAGGCACCTCAGGTTTATGCCACACCTTGAGAAAGACAGGACTGTCAAGCAACAGTGAGAAAATAAGCAGGCTGACCTAGAAAAGTTGCCTCACACCCTATTCCTGTGCCCAATGTGTGAGTAGGAGGAGGAGTGGAATCAGCTGGGACTGCAGGTTCTGAAGGTTCTGTGAAGTGTCAGATCAAGAGTGCAGTAAAAATATGTTATCAATGAAAGAAGGAAGGATGATAGGGAAGAACGAAATGGAAAGACAAGAAGAATTGCATCATCACTAATATCTGACTCTACAGTAAAATACTGTGAACACTATACAGTTCATAATTGCTTACTTTCAGATTTTTGTTCATCTTCAAATTAACCTAGTAAGAAAAACATTTCTGAATGAATCAATGAATCAATGATCTCCATTATATGAATGAAGAAACAAGTTCAAGAGTAACTTGATTTCAGACCATTTAGTGAGTTAACTGTGAAGAGGGAATCTGAATTCAGATTTTCTGATTCTAAGTTCCATGCCTCTGTCTCTGCACCAATAAAAAAATTTTAAATTATTTCACTACTCCTTCCCACCCATTTCAGGCATCTGGTGCTTTCTTTTTCTGTCTCCTTATTAGATCAATGACTGAACCAATAATTATTTACTCTCATAACTATCACTTATGTCCATCTTCTGTTGAATGATATAATTAACATCTAATTGTGATAATTTTATAAGACCAGGATTATTCCAAAAGGAAAAAGATAGTATACAATTTTTTTTTTTTTGAGATGGAGTCTCGCTGTGTTGCCCAGGCTGGAGTACAGCGGCAAGATCTCAGTTCACAACAACCTCTGCCTCCCAGGTTCAAGCGATTATCCTGCCTCAGCCTCCTTAGTAGCTGGGACTATAGGCACCCGGCACCACGCCCAGCTAATTTTTGTATTTTTAGTACAGACGGGATTTCACCACGTTGCCCAGGCTGGTCTCAAACTCCTAACCTCAGGTGATCCGCCTGACTCAGCCTCCCAAAGTGCTGAGATTACAGGCGTGAGCCACCACGCCCAGCCTACACTTTCATCAGTGTAATTTACTGCATTTTTCTTACCAAAGGAATTAATTTGGCATCTGTAATGGGAGATAAATACACTACTTTGGCCCATCATTTTAGCACTTTCAAGAAAGTTTGAGCCCAAGAAGTTGAGGCTGCAGTGAGCTGTGATGGCGTCACTGCACTCTGACCGAGGCAATGGAGAGAGGCCTTCTCAACAACAACTTCTGAATTCCATATAATTGACCCTTTTTTTTTTTTTTTTTGAGACAGTCTCGCTCTGTCACTCAGGCTGGAGTACAGTGGCGCAATCTCGGCTCACTGCAACCTCCCGCTTCTGGATTCAACTGATTCTCCTGCCTCAGCCTCCCAAGAAACTGGGACTACAAGCACCTGTCACCTTGCCTGGCTAATTTTCGTATTTTCAGTAGAGACGAAATTTCACATGTTGGCCAGGCTGGTCTCAAACTCCTGACCTCAGGTGATCTGCCCACCTCTGCCTCCCAAAGTGCTGGCATTACAGGCATAAACCACTGCGCCTGGCCCCATATAATTGACTTATAAATTAATTTTTTTAAAAAAATGTCTAATTTGAGAAAACATGGATAAAGTGGAATTTCTTTTTAACACTGGAGCTGGACAGAGCTTTTTTGACATAATTTTGATACAATTTTGGACCTAATTTTTTTTAAAGTCCATACTTGACTGCTATTTTTTTAAAAGCAACAACAAAAAAAATCTCAAATTTCATTTCTCCAAATTTAGAAGTACTGATAATATGCAAGAAAAACTTAACCATACTGTAATGTCCTACCAAAGATCAGTCTGATAGAACTCAGGATTTTGTTGCCGTAGTAAAAACTCTGCCCCCTCCTTTCTCCACCACCTTTTCTTGTTCCTCTTTAATCTCATCCTTTAGTTGGTTTCTTGCTGTTTGCCTACAAAATACATCAAATATCTCACATTCTAAGAAGTACACAACATTTTTGAAATGTAAGAGTCAATTTCTAGTAAATGGTATAGTTAAGTTTTTCACACTACCTATACACAAATAGCAATATACTTCTACACTATACTTAAGATTTATCATTTGACAAAATGTAGTTTAATCAGAATTTTTAAAAATCCTTAAATTTTTTTAAATGCATATCACATATATTATTGCTCACAAAAATCTCAATATTGAAGGTACAATCGAAACATACTCTCAAGAAATACTAACATTGGGGCTGTCATATAAATAAGAACTTCTATAGTCCTCTTGAGCATTAAAGAAGTATGGAAGAGGCTTAAGGAACCCAGAAAATAAGAACAAAGTTGTAGTAATCTAATTTGCTTTTTCTTTACATCCTCATATAGCATTTACGAGACCCTGTGCTTTGCAGGAAACTCTGAATGCATGCGCTTCCCAAAGTTACTTATTTACTTTTTATTTAGTGACAAGGAACAATAAGAAATAATAGTGACTAGAAGGATAAAAATTATAACAATTTGTAATCTTAGACTTAAATATTTTTAAATGGCTTATAAAACAAATGCTATTTCATGTGACATCTTTATCAGGAATAAAAATCATAGATGTCCTCATAAAATAATATATAATTTTTAAGTCTAGATAATATTCCAAATAAAAGCAATGTCTTTTTTTCCCCAGCACTCATCAGAGAATTATAACATTATAGCAGCCATTAAAATTAAGGGGAGGCCCAGGCGCGGTGGCTCATGCCTGTAATCCCAACACTTTGGGAGGCTGAGGTGGGCAGGTCACAAGGACAGGAGATCCAGACAATCATGGCCAACATGGTGAAACCCTGTCTCTACTAAAATATAAAAAGTTAGCTGGGCGTGGTGGTGCATGCATGTAGTCCCAGTTACTCGGAAGGCTGAGGCAGAGGAATCACTTGAACATGGGAGGGGGAGGTGGCAGTGAGCCGTGATTACCCCACTGCACTCCAGACTGGCGACATAGCCAGGCTCCGTCTCAAAAGAAAACAAAAAAAAAATTGATTAAGGGTCACAGGCCTGGAATATGAATAAACTATACTAAGATAAAATCTGTCTCTAGCATGTAAAAATTCCAACAACAACAAAAAAAAAACTTGGATGCTTTCTTACTCCTTTGGGCCATTGATATACTGTATAACTAGTGAAATTTTTGTCAGTCAAAATGAACCATATTAGACACTTGTATTCTCTTCTTGGTGTCCCAGCCAAATATTAGTAAGATAATCTTAAAATCACTCATTCAGAGTTATTGAATAAATGTGTCAAATATATAAACTATTAGACACTTATTAAGTAACAAAGATGATACTTTCAAGAAATTTTCATTTTAGGGAAAATAAAGCAAAATAGCTAAGAGACATCTGCATTAAGTCAGTAAATAGTTCACAAATAAAAATATTAAATGTTAGTTTAAGGGAAAAGTAAAAACAGGGTTTATGATTACTATAACCTCAAACAAACAATAAATTAGTATTTTAATTAATCACTGCTTGGCACTACCCTTACATCCCTCCCCACTGGTTGGGTATCGTAGCCCACTTCATTACTTGGCCTACATCCCCATTACTTTGTTTCCCTTGCATCTCTCCTCCCTCATCCACCTTCAATACAATCTGTCTTTGCTTTTCTCCTGGTTGCAGAACACTGCCAGAAAAAACAGTAAAATATGCTGATTACAAATTTATGAGTTCCAGTCTCCAATGAGCTTCTGATGCTGCTCAGCAATTCTTTCACTTATTTATCTTGAAACACTTCTCTTCTCCATTCCCCACAAGATGTGTAACACTTTCAACACTCTCCTCAAGTCCCCTAGCCTGCCTACTTTCAACAACCCAAGGCTCAAAAAGTAACTATTAAAAAAAAAAATTAAAAAACAAAGGCCCCAGATGTAGTTTTTTCCCTCCATATCCAAATGTATCTAATTATCATCTATACACAACTCCTAACTTTCTGAGATAGAGTATAGGTGTCTACTCTTTTCCAGAGTTAATCCCCTAAGAGCTGTTCTTGATCTTACCTCTTCCTGCTTCATCTGGGACCTTTTTCTATTAGTTATTCCCCAATTCTATGTTTGATCTCTTCATCGGCCTATCAAAAAAAAAAAAGTTCAAGCACCAAATGAAGGCCCTTTCCCTCCTCCCTGCCTCCTCCAGCTACTACGTCTTACCTCCCCTTCACTGGCAAACCTCTATTCTCTTTTTGGTCTACCTCCTTAGCTGTCTTCCATCTTCACCACTTACTTGGCTCCAGGAAAGGTTAGGAATGACCTGATTTCTACATTCAGTGGCCTATATTCAGAATTTATCTAACCTGACCTCAATGCCCTGAAAAAGTCAAAGAAGGTAATAAAAGCAGAAGGAATGAAAAAGAAAGTCACCATTTGTAATCCTCCAACATAATGACTGATTCAAGCAAGGATCATTAATGGATACCAAAATCACTGGGTAAAGGGTGTCAAGGAATAGGATATTTACATGGCTATTAAGTATCCTCTACAAATTATTTACTAAATAGTACAGAGATCTGTCAGTCCCACCTTTACCAAGTGATCAAACTTGCATTACCAATAGAGTGACAGCCTGAAATCATGTGCCTCCTGATGTAATACAGCAGTAGAAATACACATCATCTGTGTGGTGGTCTCACCAGAAATGTCTGACTAGAATCTAATTGTGAGGAACAAACCAATTCAGAATGTGGAACATGCTCCAGGACATACAGTCTCTACTTCTCAACAGATAAATCTAAAGAAGAGAGGAAGGCGGTAGGAAACTAGTCCAGACTGGGGGAGACTTAAAGAGACATACCAGCCAAATGCAATGCATTAACCTTGCATGAATCCTGCATTTGAGGGGGGAAAAGCTATAAAGATTTTTGGGATAACTAGGAAGATTTAAGTATAGAGTATACGTCAAATAATGTTATTAAGTAAATACTGATATCTATATAACATATATAATACCTATGAATACCACATTACTTATTCTGAATATTATCTGCAACTATTCTACCCTCAAATTACCCCATAAAAATCTTACTGAATAGCTGGGCCTTTGACCACCTCTACCCTTATTTTTATATGATTGTGAAAGAGAGGTGACCAGTTAACAAAATTGTAAGAAATTGGCCGTGGCTCACACCTGTAATTCCAACACTTTGGGAGGCTGAGGCAGGCGGATCACAAGGTCAGGAGTTTGAGACCTGTCTGACCAACATGGCGAAACCCTGTCTCCACTTAAAACACAAAAATTAGTCAAGCGCAGTGACGCGCACCTGTAATCCCAGCTACTCAGGAGGGTAAGGCAGGAGATCGCTTGAACCCAGGATGCAAAGATTGCAGTAAGCCGAGATTGCACCACTGCACTCCAGCCTGGGCAACAGAGTGAGACTTTATTTTTTTAAATAATAATAATAAAATTGTAAGAAATTATATTTTTGCCCATTCATTTCATGCATTTTAATTAATTCAACTGTAAACGCTATAGCATAACTGTGGACTACTGGACATATAGAAAAATCAAAGTGACTTTTTTGCATAGAAAGATGAAAAATAATTTAAAAAGAAATCTAGAAGGAAATGAGATTTTACAAATGGTGAGTAGGCTTAAAACCCCTATTTCTTCAGTTAAATCCTCACATCTGAAGAATAATTACCACTGGTAGAAAAACCCTTCAAATACACAGGAAGGCAGGCATAGTAAATGAAGACAAAAGGATTACTCCCAAAAAGGGAATTAATCCAAATAACTGTAGCATACTCTTAAAAAGATTAAAACTATTTGTATAAGTCACTTACAATTAATTTTAACTCTGAAATAAAATATATATTTTCAAGTCTTCTCAAATAGCATATTTGAAAACAAGGTAATCTTTTCTTAATAACTTAATTTCACCATTTTAATAATCAGTTATTTTACTGTGCTATAATGGTGATACTCTCAGGTGCTATAGAAGGAAGTCAGTTTGCCCCTATATTAAGGAGTTTCAGTTTGCCCCTATATTAAGGAGTTTCAAATATTGATACACTAGTTATTTTACTAGTTTGTTATCAATATTTGTATTTAGTGCTTCTCTCCTCCCTAGAGAGGCTGTCAGCCATCACTATTCTCCGCCTTACTATCTATATTCCTGCCTTGGACAACCTCTATGTTCCTTCGTAGTTTGATTCTTCTGAAGCGAATAACTCTTCTACAGTATGTTATAGTTGACACAGCATCTTAATACATATTACCTCATTTAATAATTCTTACAATAGCCTTGTAATACATGGATTATCACTACCCCTATTTTATAGATGAGAAAACTGAGGCTCAGAAAGAATAACTTGAGTAACTTATCCACAAGGTATGGATGATAAATAGCAAAAGTGATCTCAACTGTCAATTACTTTCTTTCATCAACAAATTAAGTGTGTTAAAAACATTAAATAGTCAAAAGTGGAGCTCATAGGGGAAAAAAACAGATTCATTATAAGCTTTGAATTTTTCTGGACATTCACAACATACATACATACATACATACATTAAGTTAAACACTTAGCTTACTTCTCCTTTCTTGGTAGTTGAAGCTGCCAGGAAAAAAAAAAAATCACTTCTGGATAAAAGATATGAATATATTCTATTTACAATTTCAAAAACATATGCAAAAATAACTAACAATGCAAAACAATATCCAAATTTGCAGTAAATTAAGTCTATTTTTAGGAAAAAAAGGGTTTCTTTTTTCAGATTTGAAGACAACCTAAATATACAAAAGAATATCTGTATTGTGTCATAAATAGATTTCCTTTTATTTTTCCCTCAATTCCTCCTCTTGCAAAGAAACAGAGTTAGTTGCTAGAGGATCTAAGGTGTTAATATAATTCACCAAACAGTGCCCACTAAGAGTATTTTCCCACCTGGTAGGAATCAAAAACACTAGGTCCTTACCAGAAATCACGCAACCCCTAGGTTTACAATGGTACCATTGACATTTTGAACCGGATAATTTCTTGCAGAGGTGGATGCAATATGTTCTGTGCATTGTAGGGTATTTAGCAACATCCCTAGCCAATAGCATTTCCTTCAGCTATGACAACCAAAAATGTCTCTAGACACTGCCAAATTTCCCTTGGAGGTCAAAACCGTCCTTGCAGAGCAATTGTTTTAGATGTTAGGGCACTGGATATTTGAAAAAGGAAACTTCCAACTGGCCCTGTTAATTATAATTTTTTAAAATTTGCTTTTTAAAAAATAAGACATTAATAGTACAAGATACCTAAATAATACATCTGCTATCCTTCCTTAGGTTAAAGCATTTTTAGAGGATTTTGTAACATGGGTTTCATCAATGTAGCTACATATAGTCACTCACTTTTCCCCCCAAGTTGGGGGAATGTCCAGTTCTTTCTCAGCTCTGCTAGCAAAATGTCAAATACATACATATATACAAGAATCTAAACAATTCTAACTTCCAAAGTCCCATTTCTTGCTTTACATGGCCACGCTGTGGTTCTTGAGCCACGCATCCTAGAGATTCAAGCTTCTAATCTCCAGATTTCCTCATCTGCTTGCTGCCAACTAATAGTGAGGTAAGTAGGAAGTAAGCTGATGACCTTTAAGATCTTTTCCCACCCTGATATTCTAATATTCAATGACAAAAATGCCCACTTTTACTTATTGATTCCAACCTGACCAAACCACCTCTTGAGGTTACTGAAGATATTCATGCCTTCTTTCTCCAACTTTATGCTGAATACAACCAAAAAGTGTAACTATTATTTACAACATCACTTTTAATATTGGTGATCAGTTGCTTATTCCCTAGATCAAATAAAAAATTTTAACATGCACACTGATTTTAAAGGAAAAGCTTTTCAAAAAGCTATGAGCCCACAGCATTATATGAAAGGCGCACATTGGGCCAATATTGAGACAGAAAGTACACTACTGGTTGCCTAAAGATGGGGCTGGGATGAAGAGAATGGGGAGTAACTGTTAATGGATACAAGGTTTTTTGAGGGAATGATGAAAATGTTCTAAAATTAGATTATGGTGATGTTTGCACAATTATTTAAATAAACTAAAAACCACTGAATTGTACACTTTTTTTTTTTTGAGATAGAGTCTCACTCTGTCACCCAGGCTAGAGTGCAGTGGTGCCATCTCGGCTCATTGCAATCTCCACCTCCCAGGTTCAAGTGATTCTCCAGCCTCGGCCTCCCCAGTAGCTGGGATGACAGGCGCTCGCCACCATGCCCGGCTAATTTCCCGGCTAATTTTTATATTTTTAATAGAGACGGGGTTTCACCATGTTGGCTAGACTGGTCTCGAACTATGGACCTCAGGTGACCTACCTGCCTAGACTTCTCAAAGTGCTGGGATTACAGGTGTGAGCCACCGAACCTAGCCAAGTTGTACACCTTAAATGGACGTATTTTATGGTATGTTAATTTTATCTCGATAAAGCAGTTTTTAAAAAGTTAAGAGCAGGAAAAAGGAATTGTAATTAACTTTTGTTGATTAAAACAAAGAGTGTGATGGGTTGGGGCTGTGGCGCACACATCTAATCCCAGCACTTTGGGAGGCCGAGGCGGGTGGATCACAAGGTCAGGAGTTTGAGACCAGTCTGGCTAATATGATGAAACCCCGTCTCTACTAAGCCAGGCATGGGCACGCCTGTGGTCCCAGCTACTTGGGAGGCTGAGGCAGGAGAATCACCTGAACCTGGTAGGCGGAGGTTGCGGCAAGCTGAGATCGCCCCACTGCACTCCAGTATGGGCAACAGAGCAAGACCACGTCTCAAAAAAAAAAAAAAAAAAAAAAAAACCAGAATGTGATAAAGAACAAATTCTGCAAAATTTGCCGTTTCATGGGCTATATAGGAATTGACTTCAATTCTGACACAAAAAATTACCTTATCCAGAAATAAATTTTAACTTTCCAAAAAATATAAACATATGCAAAAGTAATCACCTTTTCCTAGTAAACTTTTAGTATTAAATTCTAATTTCAAAAACACTTCAGAAAGCCAAATGCTGTAGTAATAATAGTTCTACAAGAATAAAATATATGAATGTTAACAACAACAAAACAGTGTTTACAATTTGGTTGTGATGCATTCTTTATTTTAAAAACCCATTAAAACATTTTTCATTTATTTAAAAAGCGATCCTCAGACTGCCTCTTAGATTGGTAGTGTAATAATTCTTAAGTTATCAGAACATAATTTTAAAATAGCCAAATTACAATAAAATTGCAAACTCTACTGTCCCAAACATCAATTACACATACTGATCATTTTTACCCAAACCTATCATGAGCAACGATGATCACTACAAACCATCAACATCCATTTCTAGGAAATCCGATTCTGACTACACTACAAATACAGTCAAACAAACAAATCCCATCATGCCCTCTGTTCCATCATTTAACTGCTTAGAAATCATTTAGGCTCTGAAGGTGCTTTTTCCAATTAACTCTCCTTCGGATTTATAAAAGTGAATGTATATCAAAATCTGCAGTTTAGGTTATCGCAATAACATTTCTCAGTATACTACAAGTAATTTATCATGGTATTACTTAAAGTCGTTTACTATTAAGACTGCCCTGGATTTGACAAATCAGAAACACACCCAATTAAAAATAAAAACAGTACAATTTAATTCTTCGAAAGTAAGAGCCTCAATAAAGACCAAAAAAATAAAACTGATTAGAAGGAAAAAAATCTTTTTTCGCAACCCCGGTCAGTCAAAATGCTAAAAATACCATCTTGAACTCAACACATGAACAGACCAAATGGCTAATTGTAATTGGCAAGCCAAAGTTCCCAAGTCAACGACGGGAGAGCAGAGACGGCAGGGAGGGCCTGCCCTTTCTATCTGTGCAGAGATGGAAGGAGGCAGAACTGAAGAAAATTAATTATTGAACAAATTATTTCAAGCTACATTTTCAAAAGGCAAAAGACTAAGTAACTCTTTGGGTTAGTCTTCCCCGGAGAGAAAAACAAACAAATGTTTAAACGATTCCAATAGAATCCAATAGGACTAGGGGCCTGGCTGGAAAAAGAAAAGGGAAAGTTTGGGGGCAGCGTCTAAGGGGGTGATGGAAGTTCCAAAGCTGGGATCCCAGAAAGAGAGGGGCTAGAGCGGCGTTTGCGGTCGCCGACAGGAGGTAGGGAACATAGCTGCCAGCCCCGATCCCGAAGGGAGAGTGAAAAGG